GGGGTCCCCCTGGCGGCGGAGCGGAGCGGGGCAGGTAGGCGGGGCGCCGGAGCCTTCCCCGGTCGGCGGCCCGGCAGTCCCCAGCTGCCGGGTGTGGCAAGAGCTGGGCAGCTGCAAGCGTGAGAGCCCCCGGGGGCAGCCCGGGAGTCGGGGGGGTGGGCCTCCTTGCTGGAGCCATCGATAAGGGGACAGCCCTGCTCCCGCCCCTGCTCTCTGGCCCCCGGCCACGGCCGGCTGCTCACCCTCCGGGGCGTGGGAGTGCCCTGCCGTGCTCCCTGGGGCCGGGAGCCTGCAGCAAAGGTGACAGCTGGGGGCAGATCACACACCACGGGGGTGGGAGTGGAGGGCACAGGTTCGTAACAAGGGTGCTAAGCACTGGTGAGGCGTAGGGGGTGCACGTGCACCCCTGTGAGCTCGGCGGTGCCCTGCCCGTGAGGTCAGCGGTGCACCCCCTGAGCTTGGCGGTGCCCCGCCCGTGAGATCAGCGGTGCACCCCCTGAGATTGGCGGTGCACCCCGTGAGCTCGGCGGTGCCCTGCCCGTGACATCGGCGGTGCACCCCCTGAGATTGGCGGTGCACCCCGTGAGCTTGGTGGTGCCCCGCCCGTGAGATCAGCGGTGCACCCCCTGAGATTGGCTGTGCACCCCGTGAGCTCGGCGGTGCCCTGCCCGTGAGATCAGCGGTGCACCCCCTGAGATTGGCGGTGCACCCCGTGAGCTTGGCGGTGCCCCGCCCGTGAGATCAGCGGTGCACCCCCTGAGATTGGTGGTGCACCCCGTGAGCTCGGCGGTGCACCCCCTGAGATTGGCGGTGCACCCCGTGAGCTTGGCGGTGCCCCGCCCGTGAGATCAGCGGTGCACCCCCTGAGATTGGTGGTGCACCCCGTGAGCTCGGCGGTGCACCCCCTGAGATTGGCGGTGCCCCCCGTGAGCTCGGCGGTGCCCTGCCCGTGAGATCAGCGGTGCACCCCCTGAGCTTGGTGGTGCACCCCGTGAGCTTGGTGGTGCCCCGCCCGTGAGCTTGGTGGTGCACCCCCTGAGATTGGCGGTGAACCCCGTGAGCTTGGTGGTGCCCCGCCCGTGAGCTCGGCGGTGCACCCCCTGAGATTGGCGGTGCACCCCTGCAAGAAGCGTCAGCGGCACCTGCGGGCAGTCCTTGAGCGCTGCTGGCCGCTGCTGATGCCGCCAACACTGCCAGTGGTGTCTGCAGGTGGTCGCTGACCACTGCTTGGCGCTCACCACCCCCTCCACTGCCGACAGCATCACGGCCGCCTGCGGGAGCTCGCTGTTTCCCCCCAGCCTCCAGGGACACGTGGCGTTTACGGTGCTACAGGTGATCAGAGCACACTGGACGGCACCCGCTGGCCCTCAAACGGGTCTGAGGAGCCAGTGGACGCTGCCCAGTGATGCTCTGCTTGGAGACGGGAACAAAGTAGGGCAAGGAAAAGTGGCCCTGGGGACCCTCCCTGCCACAACCTCCTTGCTGGCCAGGTTTATAGCCCCCGCCATGGGACACAGGGTGCTGGCAAGGTGATGTGCCGTCTGACCCCACGGACGGCAGTTCGTAGGAATTTTTCACAGACTCCTAGAGAAGTGGGGCTGGCAGGGACCCTCGGAGGTCGCATCTAGTCCTGCCCCAGCCCAAGGCAGGATCAGACCTGTGCAAACCATCCTGTACCATTCACCGTCTGAAGTCGACGTGAGACTGCCGTCAGCCCTGACACCACGCAGCTCTCGCCTCCTGCCTTGCCCTGCCCTGCCGCAGGGAAAGCGCTCCCTGAGTTTGCCTTTTAAAGGTGTTAAGTAAATGTCCCTTGAGCACGAGTGTAGTGAAGTCGTAGACCGGGTGGTTCTGTGAGCAACCTGCTCCTAATGGGGAGCGTATGTCTCCGTCATATATATATATATATATATATATATATATATTTAGTTCATTCTTGTGCGCTGTTGCTGTTTAGCTTTGCCCCTGGCATTACCGTGAGGCCGTTCGGTGCATTGGATCAGGTCTACCGCATTTTGGGAAAGGCTTGTGTCGGAGCTGTGGATACTGGTGGTTTCTTTGTGGGCGGCGTTGGTAGTAGTGGCACCAGGGATGTGCTGACAGGTTAAGCGTTGTTGCCCCAGCAAGGCTGTATCCTACTCCATGTCTGTTGGGCAGTGCACAGTTTGCTTCTGGTGATGAATTGGGCAAGGTTGGGGGGCTGTTTGAAAGCCAGAAGTGGAGGGGTTGGGAATATTTCTTAAATCCTGGTAGTACCTGGACATCCTCTTAAAGAGGCACCTGGGGGCTCCCAAGGCTGAGTCTTTAGCTGTTCAGCCCAAAGTTGATTGTTGCAGCCACCAGTTTAAAACATCATGCTTGTGCTTCTGTCCCTTGCAGGATGAAGACATTGTTTGAGGAGATCAAGGCATCCATTAAGAATAATAACGACCAGGACCGCTCATTCTGGAGGCCCGTGCTCCCCTGGGGAGGGGTCTTTACTATCAAAGCTGGCCGCAAAGCGGTATCTTGCACGCCACTTTATGTCGAGATACATCTGAAAAACACATGCACTATTGACGGATTCTTGATGCTGTTGTATGTCATCCTGCGCGAAAACGAGCACTTCCCCAGGGAGCTCTCCCTTCATTTGGGCAGAGAGTTCGTAGACTGTTTTCTTTACTTAATGGACTCCTACAGTTTTACAACTGTAAAGCTGCTTTGGATTTGGGACAAGATGGAGAAACAACAGTACAAATCTGAAGTTCACAAGGCCTCGCTGGAGATCGACTTGTTTGGCAACGAGCACGACAACTTCACGAAAAACCTGGAAACGCTCATGTCCACCATTCAGGAGAGCTACTGTTCCAACTGGAGGTGTCCTACACGTGTGCAGGAAGATCAGCAGAAAACAATTAACATCAAGTAAGTTGCTGCAGGAGCTGAGCTGCAACTCTAGGCCCTGCTGCACGTTCAAATAAAGGTGGATAGAAACCTGCTGTAGAGTTGTTGCACGTTTTCAGGCACTAACTTGGTAGCTGATGGGCTCTTTTTATAAGCTGGAGTGGCATTCTGATCATGTGATAATTACTTTGCACATGTCGCTGCTCTAAATTAGTGGCGCAATTAGTCAGATGCACAATACATCTGATGTGTAGCAGGGGCCTGAGATCAATACACGTTTCTCTTTTCAAGAGAGCTGTGATTCACCGTGAAACAATCTGTATTATCTGCCAAAGTGCCTGTAAGGGTAGAGCTTGTGTGATACATCTGTGACTACGTTACTGCAAGTGGCGTGTGCTCTGTGCTGAGTCATGTCTCCACAGAAGTTGCTGGAGATGCCTTAGAGAAGAGGACCTGCGTTAAGTTTGGCTTGGCAGTCCAATCAGAGAGAAGGAAGAGGGCATCTCTAATCCTGGTCCGTACCAGGGTGGTAGAGATCAAGCTGCTCTTGACGCTGAGTCGATTCTTTGAGAGTGCTTGGCTTTGACTGGGCTCTGTTTTGCCTTAGCTTGGGGCATGAGAGATGAAAGCTATTCTGTGTGATTTGTTAAAAGCATTTAGAAGTGCCTGTTCCACAAAAAAGGTGTAATAGCACCTCTACTCATGTGCCCTGCTTTGTTGTCAAACCTAATGCCTGTTTTTCCCAGTAGGCTGGCTGGAGTTCTCCTTTTTGCAGACCTCCACCCTGCAAAAGGTTGCTTTTCTGGACAAAAAGGGTGGCAGTGTTGAAGCCAGAGGATAATTACAGAAAGTCCCTTGGTGGCCGCCTTGTCCTGAAATGAAGGGACTGTGGCACCTTGGATTATAACATTATATAATATGGATTATAACATGTCATATAACATATAACTGGCAATAAGATGTGGGGGGAGAGGGCCAGTTACAAGTTGCCCACCATTTAGGTGCCAAAACTAACACTTCCACATGCTGGAGGTACTGTGCGGCCAAGGAACGCCCACAGCAGCGAGCTGGTTATTGAAGCCTCCACCACCTGAAGTTTCTGACCGGTTGCACTTTGTTAATTGAGAACACACAATAGCAAAGCATAAAGTTTGTCCTCATATGGTGTGACTGTGTATTTGGATGGGACACGGGATACACATGAACTTTTGGCGAAGTCACCGGAAGGCATTCCTACCACAGGAACGATTTGTTAATCAAATATATTAAGCAAAATGGCATCTTTGGGTGGTTAATGCAATAGATCGGTGAAAGAAGTAGCAGTGTGGTTTCACCACCCGACTCCCAACTGTGTCCAGCAGGAACTGTGGGAGCGTGCTTGCCCCGTTAGGGATAGCAAGACCGTCAGCGATTCTTCCCCCACCCCTGTCTGTTGCAGCCAGTTGGTCTTTAACTTGTTTGGCTCTTCCGTGTGTTAGATACTAGCATAATGTCACAGCTGCGACATATTGTCCACACTGCGCGGTACGCAAGCTTCTATGACGAGTACCAAACTGCTGCTGGTTTTGGGATTGGCTTTGTGGACTCGCTTCAGATTTGTGGAGCACTGGAAGTGCCTGTGCCCAAATCTGGAGTGTTTCCAGTCCCTCTTGACCAGTCCATCATTTAAAAAAAAACAAAAATCTTTAAAATAGCTTGCAGCTAAACTTGGCCAAGTTGCACCTTCTATCCGTCTGGCCCTTCCCACTCCTTTCTCTGCCTCATTGTAACCCATCTGCCCTCTCTAATTGTCCTGTGCCTGAACTGCAGGGTTGCTTTCTACCTACGCTGGATTCTCTTTAGTCTCCTTCCTGGACCACTTTCCCTTGGGCAGTTTGCTCATCATTGCCAGGTAAATCTCTGGCTCTGTTACATGGTGACAGCTGTTGCAGACAGCACTAAGAATAGCAGCTAAAGCTGTGTTTTCATCTTCTTGCTTTCCCCCCACTCTTATTTTTAGGGTAAATAAAAAACACTTGGAAATAACAGCAGGTTCTATAGGTTGTTTTAGATGCAGGAGACAAACTTGGCTGTCCACGTTGGGCCAGTCCGGAGTATTTAAAGCCCATGTCCATATTAAGGAACATCTGTACTGTAAGGGTATTACCTCTGACTTAAAAAGTTTAGCTGCATGCTATTTTAAAGCTTTTTTTTTTTTTTTTTAAATAATGGACTCTTCAAATGGAAGTGCTGCAGCCTACAAGCTTATTACCGTTCAGGTAGACATTGCTTCCTTGGCAAAGCATGCATGCTACTTAAGAAGGCCTTTCTGATGGGATTTCTTTATTTATTTTTTTAGATTCAGTGCACAAATATAATCTGATAATAGTGTGTAAAAATGCTCAAGCAGTAACAAGCCCTTGTTGATCTATATACAAAAAAATATAATAAATAATCTGCCAGACACCAGGCCCCCGCATCTATATTTGGCTCTGTAGCTTACATTATTCCTTCAGGTAAAAAAAATTATTTGTGTCCTAGGATCCGCTCGAAAACCAGGGGGAGGAAGGGTGTGATATGAAGATGTCGTGGGTGCCTGTGGCATGGTACAGAATGGAGTACAGCCTGTTGCTTTTATAATTGCACAATGAACTTCCTGAACAAATATATTTTAAAAGTGAAAAGGTGATAACCATTAAGACGGGCGGGCAAAATATGGCCCGCGGGCTGGATCTGGACCACCAATTGACTGGATCCAGCCCATGGCAGCACCCCCAGCGCACACGCGCTCTTCCCACACCCCACACACACTTCCATGCACCCTGCCCCGCTCGGCTTTGGCCCCGTGATCCTAGCTTTGCTCGCCCATCCCACTTCCAAACGCAGCTCCCTGCGGGCCCAAAGGCTCAGAGGGAGTTTTGGTGAGTTGGTGCAGGAGGGGGGAGGCCGGTGCTGACCCGACCCGTGACAGCTCATCAAAACTCCCTATGTGGCCCTTCACCCCAAATAACTGCCCACCCCTGCATGAGTAGCTGGCTATGGTTATGTAAATGAAAGACTTGAATTTCACTAACAGAGTCCTTAGTACAGTGACCTTGTAGAGATGAGCTGTTTTGCAGGGGTGAGAAGAAAAGTTGTTCTGGAATCGAGGAAGTTGTTTTTCCACAGCTGTGAAATTCAAAGCCACTAGGTCCTTGGGCAGGAATCCGTGATCTCTCTCCTGAATCTTTCTCTTTGTGGCCTGTGTAGCTTAGTGTGCTGAGTTTGGGAACGGCTCGGGTATATGCACGTGTTGTTAACTGATTTGATATTTTGCAGTTATGGAATCAATCTGATCGAATGCTCCTGCTTATTTCAGCCCTCCCCAAGAGATCCCACATGGAGACTTGATTCAGCTGGCAGTAGATGAATTATTCTGTTCCAAGATAGAGCTGTGTGAGCAGTATGGGTAAGTAATGTGTGTTGAAGTGTGTTTTGCTACAAGGCTGCTAATATGTTGGGTTGTCTGTTTTTTTTTTTTTATTTGCTCCCTGGTTAAGCAAACCCTGTCCAAGCTGAAGCTTTCTATGGTGGGGCTTAGCCCGAAGATGCTAGTGGGTCTCTTGCGCTGCTAGGGTCTTTCCTTGAAATCGCATGGGTGCCGGATGAGGAGCTGCCTTCTGTGGACCAGCAGCCAGGAGAGAAACTTGCACCTATTGCTCTGTTGCTTCTGCCTACCAAGCACATTGCTACATGCCATTTCCCCTCATCCCCAGACATGGATGGAGATGACTGCCGAGGGAAAAGCACGGTCAGTTGATGAGGGCGAGTCCAGGGAAAACATTTGAGGGAAGGCTTGAACGATTGAATCTGTGGAGGAAAATCAGTTTGGGTTGGGAATAGACTAGGGTAGGGGTTTGCACCTCAAGCCGCATCCCACCCTCCCTCCAGAAAATGCCAGCTTTTCACGTTCACTTGTTTCTTGACTACAGAAAAATACTGGAGCAATTCTTTTGAGGCAGAGAACTTGGAAAGCCCACAGCAGATCAGGTGGTTTTTGCCCTTATGTATTCCTGTTTGAAATCTCTGGGTTTATCCTGTGAATCATGTGTAACGGTGCTAATATTACACAGCACCGTGGCGAGAATCACTGGTCTAGGGCACTGGGAAGGGCAGTGTGGATAGTTGGGGGATGACTGAGAAGTGGTAGAAAGTGTGGGATGGGGCATGGGTAGGGAGGAGCCCAGCCTGTGCTCTCAGTCATGTATCGGGGAGCAATGAGGTAGAGACCGGGGTTCTGTGGACCTGCCTTTATGGGGGTGACCTTGATTCAAGTGATAGACTGGAGTCTTGTTATGGAGGACTAAATTCATCATAACGGTGTATCAAATGGCCTCCTCCCCCGGGAAATCTTAGACGTATGCTGAAGAGGTGCATCTTACATGCATCGCTGGTCACCAAGTGCCCCTTAATTCTGGCTGCTGGTGAGTGTGATTTTTGGATGACTGAAAAGACAAGTGGGACCATTGGAGCGGGGTTTCAGACGAACATGGGGGAATGCTGGGTTAGACTCCCATTGCTATTGCAGTGACGGGTGGAGTCTAGCTGCCCTAGATGCTTTGGCAAACCCCACAACCAGAGGCTTGCTTGGTCGGAGCAGAGAGGTGCTAAGTAGGTGGAAACCTTGGTAATGTGCTTTAAGCAGGAAGGATGAGCACAGAGTCAGTATTTGGGGCCCTGCCAGGCTGTTTCTATCAGGAGAAGCTGAAGGTGTTTCGTTTGCACTCCTCCATTTACCAGGCATGCTCACCAAGTCTTGTTTTCCTGAACACGGTAGGCACAACCATCAGGACGGTTTCTTCCTCCCAGTTTCCAAACCTGCCTTTCCAGACCATTCTGTGCCCCTGGGAGCTCTCTCCTCTCTCTAGTCCTGCTTCTCCAGCCTTGGCTGTCTCTGACCCCGTTTTCCTCCATAAGGGCACTGAATAGGTGCTTCTAGTCGGCCAGTACGAAATGTGGCTCGGCTTTACCAGATTTTTACTGGTAAATGATGAACGTTGATTTCACCTCACACTCGTAGACTGACGAAAAAATATTTCCATCGTCAACAATCAAAGTTTATGGAAAGGAGATGTGAGAAAAATGATGGCTGATGGAGTGTGTGATGACAGGGGAAGTAGCGCTGTCGAACCGTGCTGACTGTAGTTTGGACTACAAGTCCTAGAAACCCCAGGGGACTGGGAACAAAGGAAGAGGAAGTGACAAAGTGGACAAAGGAGCTACCAGGGAGTGGAGCCAGGACTGATGGTGGCTCTGCTGCTCAGCTGGCTTCAGCCCTATGGTAGTTATGTTTGTCAGGGCAGGCGGTTAAATGGCACAATCCTGAAAACTTAAATTGATAAAAATTGAAGCAAATGCTTAAAAATAAACATCAAAATTATTAAAAAAAAAAAAATTGAATTCTGCCAAGCCTAAGCATGGCTAGCATGCCTGCCTGTGATTACCTGTAGGTGGAAGGCAAGTGTGACAGCGTTTAAACCTTCCAGCCCAACATTATACACAAATGAGACTCAACTGCAAGACAAAACATGTCTTAAGAAGGTGTAACCCTACAGTCAGACCTGCATCTGGTGTCTCGCTGTCTGCCATCCTATCATAGTTTCATAGTTGGTAGGGTCGGAAGGGGCCTGAGCAGGTCATCAACCCCCTGCCATGGCAGGAAAGAGTACTGGAGTCAAACGACCCCAGCAAGGTGTTCATCCAGCCTCCTCTTAAAGACCCCCAGGGTAGGTGCCAGCACCACTTCGCTTGGAAGTTGGTTCCAGATCCAGATCTTAGCCGCCCTGACCGTGAAGTAGCGCCTGAATCTCCCCTCTGCCAGCTTGTGACCGTTATTCCTGGTCACTCCTGGCAGTGCTCGGGGGAACAGGGACTCCCCCAGTGCCTGCTGGTCCCCTCTGACTAGTTTGTAACAGGCAGCTAGATCCCCCTCAGCCTTCTCTCGTGGAGGCTGAACAGGTTCAGGTCCCGTAGCCTCTCCTCGTAGGGCCTGCCCTGCTGCCCCCTGACCATGCGAGTGGCCTCCTCTGGACCCTCTCCATGCTGTCCACATCCCTCCTGAAGTGCGGTGCCCAGAACTGGATGCAGTACTCCAGCTGCGGCCTGACCAGCGCCGCATAGAGGAGGAGGATCACCTCCCTGGACCTGCTCGAGATGCATCTGTGGATGCATGACAAGGTGCGGTTGGCCTTCCTGACCACGTCCCCACACTGCCGGCCCATGTTCATCTTGGAGTCAATGATGACTCCAAGATCCTTTTCTGCCTCTGCACTGACGAGAAGCGAGTTCCCCAGCCTGTAGGTATGGTGCTGGTTCTTCCTCCCTAGGTGCAGCACCTTGCACTTGTCAGTGTTCAATCTCATCCTATTCTCATCCGCCCACCCCTGTAAGCTGTCTAGGTCTGATTGCAACCTATTCCTCCCTTCTAGCGTGCTCACATCCCCCCACATCTTAGTGTCATCAGCAGATATCGACTGGCTTTTTCTTGCTGTGCTTGCAGATGCAGTGGGTTGAGAGAGTTCACCCAGAGAATCTTCTGCCATGGAGCACCTCCCTTTGTTGTCTTAAATATGCAGCAGTGGAAGTCTGAAGACTTGGCATATGTCCCGTACCACCTGGCCTTATCTGACCACAAGTAAGTGTTTCTCTCAACTGCCTAACGAAGAAAATCACTCTTCTTAGAAGATGTGAAACTAACAGTGATCCTAAGTAATCCACAAAAGAAAGTGGGCCCGTGAAGGAGATTGTGGACATAGTCTTTGCTAGCTGTCAGCTACTGGTAGCTTCCAGTTTCCAAAGTCCCCTTAAACCAGGGGTGGAAAAAAACCAGTCTGCAGCCTAGATCAGTCCCACCAACTGATTGGATCTGGCTCGTGGGCAGGTGCTTGTCAAGTAAATGGTAGTCCTGCGCTAAATTTCATCAGCTGTTTTGTTTTGACAGTTTCGACTCGTTTCAAACTCAAAACAGTGAAACTGAAATGAAACGAAGGGCTTCGCAGCAGCCTTGAAACAAAACGAGGGCAGTCAAAACGTTTTGAGTTTCAAAGCTGAAGCTGGGCTTGCCTGCAGGGAAACAAAAAGGAGAGAGAAGGGGGAAGGACTCCTCTGATATTGACTGTGTCTGTTTGGTTGCTTGAGATGCTGCTGCTGCTACTGCGCTGCTTACTAAGTTATTACCTGTTGTCAGTTGAAGTGGTGGACTGGACTGAGGCTGTAGGGGAGGAGGAGACCTCTTGGGGCACACTACTGTGTCCTGTAGAGGCCCCAGCGCCAGTGAGGGTGCACTTTAACACACATGCACAGTCACGTGTCACAAGTTTTGCTGGTCATCAGCTTGAGGTGCAGTTTCCCAGAAACCCCTGCGTCTATCTCCTTGAAACTTGGCAGGCTTCATGCCCTCAGAAGGGGCTACCATCCCTGCTGTTTTTCTCCAGGTCTGCCAAAAAATGACAAAGTTATAGGCAGTTTTGTGCTTCTCCATTATAGCCTATGGGCAAAATGTCAAAACAGAGGAACAGTTTTGATGAAACAAAATGGAACGGTGGTTTTGAAACTAAACGAAACAGAACTCAAAACGAAACACTGTCCTGTCAAAATGGCAGAATGGAAGTTGAAACAAAATGGTGCTGTTTCACGCAGCCCTAGTAAATGGATCTGACCCATGGGCAGGCAGTGGCTTCAGCTCCAGCAGTTGCCAGGGGGCAGGCAGCTGGAGCTAATTCCAGTGCGTCAGGCGCTCGTGCATGCTCGCGCTCGCTCACTCTTGCTCTCGCTCTCTCTCTCTCTCTCTCTCTCCCCACCCCAGTAGCCACCAGTGAGGAAGCCTGAAGCCGCCCGCAGCTGTAGCACTGCTAGAGCAGGTGGTTTCAGCCTTCCACAGGGACCACAGCCCAGAGCTGTAGCACACCCCTTCCTTCCCCTCCACCATGCCTGCATCCCCAACCCAGAAGCTGGGCGCTTTTGGGCAGCTGCGGATGTGGCCAGCAGCTGCTGGGTCCAGACATGTGGGGGGCTAAAACTGTGGGCAGGTGGACTCTGGTTGCCAGGGTGTGGGTTGGGGTGTGCTAAAGCCAGGTAGGTAGAGGGTCCTACACTGGAAGGGAGGGATGGGGTGGGAGGTGAGGGGACAGAAGACAAAGTATGTGGCCCTCAACAAGTCACCAAAACTCATTACGTGGCCCGTCAGCCCAAATAATTGCCCATCCCTGCCTTAATCTGTTTCATATCTGAAGTGGCCTTCTGTTTCAGTTGATAAATTTGCCTGAAACAGAGGCTCTTTAATTACTGCAGATCTTAGCATGTTAACACAGCATTTCTTTTACTACCAGGCTAGTGGCCTGCCATGCATATTAAAGTGTCTATTTGACATGAGACAAGGATTTTTATGGCGGTATCTGTTATTGGACCCCCATGCGGCAGGGATGAATAAAGGTAGACAGGGTCTTAAATGCAAGGCATTCTTCATCAGGTGAATATACATCTGCTTCTCTTATTCGCAGGTATTTATTGGAAGGTGCCACACTGTTTAATAAAGAGGAGCACCATTATTCTGCGGCCTTCCAGATCGACGGGTATTGGATGCACTATGATGGTCTCAGAAGTGTCAACTTAATTTTTTTACATAAACCCCCAGAATTTCTTCTTTTGTCATCTCTAGTTTATATTAGAGCAGCAGAGAAATAAAGGACACTTAGCCAAGTTTCACACAGTTAAATCACTGCCACCCACCAAATGGAGGTCTATATTTTTATAAGTACTTGGTATCCAAGAAAAGAGTAGGACTATAGTAGTTTTGGTATTGTATTACCCAGTACTTTTGCAACAGAAAAGAATTTAAATTGGAAACACTATGCAAAATACCTGTATTTTTCTAATGTTGCTTGATTTATTTTTATACAGGTAGATTTTGTGTTAAAATAAAAAAAAAGAAATCCTTCTGTGCCTTTGTCTTATTCTCAATATTACCATAAGGGGCAGGGGAGAACTATGTGATGCAGGCCTTAATATGCACTGCTTACACGCAAGGGTAGAGAGTTGAGATTCCCCAGGCAACCTTAGTTCAGGCATTTCCTAACTTCTGCGTGCTGGCCTTCGCATCCTAAAATCTTCCGACGTTTGAAACTGCCTCGGTTCTTAAAACAGAAAAAAATATCAGGTCTATCCTCACTCATTCTTCCCATCATCAGCAGGATTGACTTATGCTCTGAATGTAGATGACATAGCCCTGTGAGCTACAGGTGCCTTAGTGGAGTACTTAAATTTGAAAGGTTGTCTCTGAGAGACAGTGGGGTGAGATGGGGATTTTTCTCTCAGCTTGTATAATCTGTGATGGGACCAGAGCAGGTTTTGTTTAATGAAGATTGATGGAGCTCCTGGGTCACGCTAGGGAATGTCATTGTTTATGCTACATTTGTCCCCAGTCCTACTTGTCTGTCTCATGCTTAGCTCCTGGTTGTAGAACAGACTGTGCATGGACAGCTACCCTGTGCCACTGCCTTTGCACTACCCCTTCAGAACTGGAGCCTTGGACTATAACGCTTCCCAGGGCAAAGACTGCCTTATTCTGCACAAGTAAGTTTGGATCTGTTTTGGGGCCTCAAGCTGCTGCTGTATTGTATGCAGTTGAAACTCCAGGAGTAGCCTCCTGCAGAGAAGAAGCTATGTGAGAACTGAGAGTTGGCTAATGCTTAAAGTGAAACGGCTTACAGAGAGAGAGAGTATATGGCTGAGAATTTGGAGCGCAAAATGCCCCGATGTGTACGGATAGAAGCATGACTGAGAATGTTTTGCCCACAGCATCTGTTGATATATTAACTAAGATGCAGAACTCTGTCTCAAACCAGGCTTTGATTTCTACTGTTTTACTGATTCTGCCCAGTTTTAACTCCTAGAGTCAGGAGGATAGAGGGGAGATGACACCTATCCTGTTCCACCAGAGAGGACTTCCTCCTGTACATCTTGTAAAGCAGGGTGACAAAAGTATGGCCTGCAGGCTGGATTCAGCCCATAGAAGTGGTTTATGTGGGCTGCTGAGAATTTGGGTGCCTTAAGGGACATAACCATTGGGCTGATGCTCAAATATAGACCTACTGTGGCCCAGCTGCAGCCTGGGCAGGACCCCTGCAGTCCTCTACTGTGTGTTGTTCCAGATGCTTTATTACGGTGCGTTAAAATACAGGAAGGGATTTCTCTCTCTAGAGGAAATGCTAATTTTAAAGCATTTCAACTGAGAAAAATACAAGCTCTAACAAGAAACGGGCAACTTTTCAGCCCTGTGGTCTCATCTGTACGCTTGCATCGTCATGTGTTGCATGACACTAGGATACAAAAATCTTGTTTTGCAGCTGAGCAAATGCATGGGGTAGTGAAGGTTATGATTAAGCGTGGTCTGAAAGCCTCAGCTGAAACACGTTTTCAAAAGAGACTGAAACAACAACAACAACAGTGCACACAAAGATCAGGAGAGATTTTTCCTCTCAGGGCTGATCCAAGAAGCAATTATAAATTCTTAGATGAAAGCAGGAATCACATTTCTTAGAGTACAGATGACATACGTGCCAGCAGATCAAGAAGATTAAAACCAGACTGCATTTGCATTCACTATCCAGCCAAAACGTAAAAATAATTTTTTTCCTCCAGATTTATTTAGTAAAACATTTCACATTAAATGAAATACTGTTACAATAATAATAGTTACAGAGCATTATCACAATAGCCAACATGTATCGAGAACACTAGTAAAGAACAAGAATGCACGTTCTTCAGAAGATTTTTTCCGGTAACTCAAATGCCACTTCTGTAAACAACAAAAACAAAACACTGTTGCTAAAAAGGTGTACACAGAAAACACTGTACATACACAAGTTACATTTATCTGATGCTCTCAGACCAAAGCACTCTGCACATGTCTGAGTACCGCACAGTACTCTGAACAATGGGTCAAAATCCCACTAAAAATTAAAATTCTCCTTGGGTTAAAGTTCAGCACAGCGCATAAGGCAAAAATACAGGAATTATCATCCAGTTCTTTGCGTTTCAATTAAGCAGAAGGAATTTAAGGCAAACTTGGAAATTTTTGCATTGTTTCATATAATGAATTGGGACTTACAGATGGCAAATTCACAAAAGCAACACTTAACTACCTCCAATAAAACAGTTAGCTATTTGTAACATCAGAAATGTATACTGGACATCTGTCCCTTCAGAGATTCAAGCTGGATTTTCTAAAGGCAAAACATTTCTTGTAGAAATGACTCAGGAAAGTTGCATATGATCATCTTATTAAATATCTTCTACAAAATTTGAGTGAAAATCCAGTAGTTTTATGCACATACAAACTTACACCTATTTTAAAGTGCTTTAAAAATTGAGTGATTAAGAAATAGAACTGGATGATAATTTAAAACTGTATGACATCTCATTTGAAGGCCTAACCTTTTAGACTGCAAGACAGACATTACAGGCTGCAATAAGTTTATTCTACTGTAAGTACTAAACTGATTGTTGTGTTCAATTTTCCTAAAACTGAGCACTTCAGTGAATGGGAAAACAGGCACCCCAAACAGAGAATGCATGTGGCATGATTTGTTAGATTACACTGTCTCTAAAGGTGCATGTACACCTTTCTGATTGTTCTACATCTTACATAGATCCATTTCTCCCTAAAAAGTTCTTCATCTAGAAACAGCAAGTGTTTTTTATTAAGCATTCCTTTTTGAGTTCTTAACAGCAAGCTTGCATACTAAAAGATTGCTTATGTTAGTACCCTAAATTTAGCACGAGGCTGCATTACACTCTATGACACTGGGGCTAAGTCTATAAAACCTAATTTAATTTTGCTGTTGCCTACAAGGCCGCGTCCAGATGCGCATGGATGTTTGTTTCCTGGGGGCAGGTAGCAGGTGACACAAGTCGGTTTTGTGCCGCTGCTACCTGTCACTAAGAAATGTCTGTGCCACGCATGCTTTAGTGCACGGCACATTACCTCAGGTAGGGTGGGGTAGGGAAGGGCTGGTTTTAGCAACTGTGCTGGCTCCAGCTATCTTACCTGGGGTCCTGGGGGAGCTGCAGCCATGGCAGGAAGTCTGGCTGGCAGCTGGAGTGTGGCTCTGGCTGGCCAGGCTCTGGTTTTGGGCAGCGCGCACTACTACCACATGTACCACCCTGCTTTTTTCGGCAGGATTTCCCGGGGTCAAAAAACAGCCCCATGCTGCAAGGCAGCATCATGGGGAATGCCTGCATGTGCGGTGTGTGGCATGTGCGCCACATACTGCACATCCACGCGTCTAGATGCGGCCACAAAGGGAATAATGTATTTCACATCTTTAATGTACTTTCAGATCGACAAATGAAAGGTGCAGTATAAAGACTGAATAACCATTCACATGTCTCTGTGGAGTATGAATTGTTTTAAATTTACTGATGGCAAACCCACCTTTCTGTACCTTGGTTCCACTTTTACTGGTACAAGCTTTGTTTGCTAATGATTCAAAGCAGACTTTTGCCTCCTCATTCAGGAAGCTCTGCTGTGATCAAAAGTCTTCAAAAAAATATTCCATACTGAATTATACAGAAACAAGTCTAACACCTTTAAATGCATAAGCTCATCTATTAAATAAAAAATAATTTTGGACTACTTTGAACATCCTTATCTCCTTGTGTAGGCTGGGGTAGGATATTCCTTAATTCATAAATCAATGGCATTTCTGCAAAATTGTAAATAGCAAACAAAAAATAGTATGTGTAAACATTCAACTTGGGTATTCACCTGAATAGGAATGAAAAGGCAATCTATTCAACAGACTAAAAAATATTTCTGTTGTGGCCAGTTCCTAAAAACTACTTTTCTCCACACAAACATGCAACATACAGCAATGCAGCTACTTGTGTCTAATAACAGATTTATAGAAATCAATGATGCTATTATTGCTATGCAACTAGAATAAATCAATGGGTCACTTAAATAAGCAGTGTAGAAAATTCTTAATTTGTCAATTTTATTTGCTTACAAGTCCTGCTGAATTCTACCGAGTCTGAAGAATATTGGCAGGATTTCATAAATTTGTGCAAACATTTGTAAAGTAGGATTAATGTTCTTATGGTTAAAGACACAGTTCTCTTGTTATTTAAATCTGAATGTTAGCTTATGGAAGAACAAGGATAACTGCAGTTTGCCTGGCTGCAATTAGTTTTACAGGAACTCAGAATAAATTAAGTATGCCCAGAAACCTCACATTATGTATTTATAAATAAATGGCTTCTTTAAAAACAACCTTTTTCAAGCATTATTGCACTTTCAAAAGTAATAGCCTATGGGTTTTCAGAGAGTGAGGGGAAAACAGACACTGGATTATTATGCTGAAATGGGTGAGTGATAATTCCAGGAGCAAAAAAACTTGCCAAGTACCAGAACTGGCAAATACAAGTGTTGACTGTGGCATTTTGCAATAGCATGATTCCTTGCTTAAATCAGAAAAACCTTTAGTAAAACATGCTATAACAACCTAAAATCATATTTATTCAGTCCCCTGTTTTAAACAGCACAAACTGTACTTGAACCATCAATCCAAAAATGTAACTAAATTTAGGGCTGTCACTGAAGCAGACCTCTTTAGTTCTGGTTCATCACAGGAACAGATCTTCTATACGTTACACAGGATATGTGCATAGTATTAAACACTATGCCCAGTGCTTTTCATTCAAACACCATTTATTTTAAAGGCAAGACTTGTGAGGCAGAAGTGCCCTCTTAATATTCAATCCATATTCAGAAATGTTATGAAAACAGGAACATTAAACTAGCTCTTCTGAAAAAAAGTAGCAAATGTAGAGTACGCTAAGAGAGTTATTGTTGACATTTCTCATAGGCACGAATGAATCAAGCAAATAAGAAATAAAAACATTGGGGCAATCAAAATGAAATCATGCTTTATGCATACAGCACTAAATTGGTAACAGCCTTATTGTAAAATCCTACGTTAGCACCATTTTTATATCTGAACACTCTGAATAAGCAACCATATATTCTTAAAAAAATAAAAAGTGATAAGGAATATGGACATAAATATATCAGGACAAAGGAAGGAATGGACAAGTCTCTTAAATATTTACACCCATGCTGTGAACTCTGTTGTGCTATTCAAGAAAACCAAGAGACACTGTTAATGAATTAACTATTTAAACTTGTCTTTGCATTACACAATTACAAAAAACACAACAGACCAGGTGAGTAATTTAGCCTAGCATTCGTCTGTCCACAGCAAAAAGATGGAGAAAGGGGGTTAAAAAGTTAGTTGGTTTCTTTTTAACAGATTCAAAAATATAATAAAAGGCATTAAATTTGCCTTGTAAATGTATTAAGTAGTCACCAATTACTATTCCCAGCCCCAAACCCATTATGCAGGTAACAAAGGTGAGTGTACAGGCAACATTTTATGGCATTTATTATTTACAAACCTTGAGATACAGAAACAAGGCAGCCCTTTAGTTACTGTTCATAAAAAAATTGTGAAGCACTGGCATTTCTCAATATGAAGACACAGCCAGACAAGTATCAAATAGTCCAATCATACAACACACTCAAATTGCTCTCATTCCTAGCACAGTAAACTGCATGTTTCATAGTAGGAAGGAGGAAGAGGTAAAAGCTCTAAGAACAGGGAAAGGATTAGATACACAACAGATTCCCTAACCTAGCCTAGGCATGTACAGTCCTCCTTTGATCAAGACTAGCTATTTCAGGCCAGTCCCAGGATGCAGTCCATGCCCCAGTCAGCAGCAAGTCTTCCATTCATGTTGCTTTATGAAAATAACAACAACCAAGGCCAGCTTCCAGAAGAAAACACATCCAGCGCCATTCTAATCAAGTTTCACCCTGTCCCTCCGACTCCAGAAAATGCAGCTTATGGTCTCCCATTGATTGGCCATCTTTTCAGGCAGGTTAAGTTCCATCTTCACATTAGGTTTGCAAGAGTGTTAAGTTTTCAAAGTGCAGTCAAACCAAAATTACATCGACAATACATCATACCAGCGGAGTCCAGCCACGAATCTGAGATAGGGTCATATTTTTGTACGGTGTTCAGATAGGATGACCCTGAGTGACCTCCGACTACATACAGGTAGTTATCAATGACAGCTGCACCAACTCCTATTAAAGAGGGGGAAAAATGCAAAATTGTTAAGTACCAAACCAAATGATGTTTTTGTTATTAATCAATGTGAAATTAGGTTAAAAGGACTGGACGTGAATGAAAATCTGCGCGTTGTGGCTCCTATGCTCCTTTCTCGAGTCATTCTCCCATGCAGCAAAAAAAACCGTCTTTCCCGGCTCACACTGTCAAGCAGGCAGGCAAACCATCTACACTAGTGCAAGCAATGTGCGCTTTAGCTCCCTTACCAACCTAGGGGCACTCTTTCCATATTTAGCTCCAGATATCAGAGGTAACAAACCATTTTTAAGATGCTGCCTTTACTCATGTTATGCAAGTTGATCACCTGCGGAATGACATTTGTTTTTACTCCCCAGCTGCTCCCCACCAATTTAAGCTGGGCCACCTGTGAATGAGGTATTATTCAAAATTCAATGAAAGTGGGAGAACTGGGTCATTCAGGAGGTTGAGAGAGAGACAGATGAGAAATACTGCACCACTGACTTCACAGAGACATTAATTAGTTCTTTCATACAGTACATTTTAGCGACATCTGACCTAATTTAAGGAAGAAGGACAATGCCCTGAAGGGCACGTCCTTTAGCCTTACATTTTTCAAACCTGTATTAGGACAAATGAAAGTTTAGTGTCTGTAAGACATGGGGATTAACTCTTGTATTCTCAGAGTTTCATACGTCCTTACCTGTTCTGGGTTCCTTCATGGATCTACACACCGTCCACTGATTTTGATGAGGGTCGTATCTTTCAATGCTCGACACGTGGGACACACCATTGTGTCCACCTACTACAAAAATGAAGCCCAGCATGACGCCAACACCAAAGTTTATTCTTTTATCAGCCATTGAAGCTACTGTGTCCCACGAGTCTTTACTCGGATCATAACGTTCCATGCTGCAGATAGAAACAAACAACTTGTAAGTCTTGGGTTTTAATGACATTTGTTTGTACCGAGGTTTTATACCACAAGAGACTTGGCTGCATTCGTCTGGGATTTCTAGCCTACTTCTGCGATGAGATAAATGTCATCTGCAACAGAGTATGAGGTTTGGGGCTCTCTCAAGGATAAGCGCTAGTATAAGTAAAATTCCCCCCCCAAATTTGCCTGCCAGCAAAATATCACACAACTCTGCAGCACAATTTATCCAAGAAGCCTGTTGGGTGGAATATCCCCCCCTGGCCAGTCCCAGTTTGAAAAAAAGTCTAATAGAAAAAGCTGTGGAGACACTGTTCTTTGGAATATTAACACAGTGGCTGAAGCCTCCATTCACTGAACTGTAACTGGAGATAGATACCAATCACTTCAGAATAACTTTGAAATTACTAAGCCCCAGAAGCCATGAGTCTCCCCGACAAGAGCAGCACAGATGGTCAGTGTCATTAACACAGTGCTGGCACACAGCCATTGCTTGCTAGATGTGCAGCTCCCATACCACTGGGGAAGGGAAAGGGGAACAGGAAATTCAGATGCACAGAGGAGAGGCAAGGAATTTAATGACACATTATTCAGCTTATTCTGCCTTCTGGGGCTTATGAGCCCAGTAACCATGTCATATTCCTTATGAATAGCCAGTGAGAACAAAGGTACTCAATACAAAAAGGAATTTTAAAAAAAAGAACATAAAAAGAATGGTTTCCGTATGTGTGTGGACAAAAGGAAGGTCTGTTTGAGATATGAATGCAGGAGAAGAACAAGACTGTCCAGGCTGTTAAACTTCTATTATGATTTTTTTTCCCTTAAATTTACCATCGATTTAATAGCATCCTTTCACAATACTTCAGTGCTAAACGCGAGACTTACCCCACTAAATGGGGAACAGAACTCACGTTTAAAGAGACTCATGTATTCACCTACTGAAAAGCATCTCCTCCTTCCTCACAACTATGGGCCTGTTCCTTTCCTTGTGCAAAGTGCTTGTCTATGCCAGGAAATTACTACAAAGCTTAGACTGGAATTTACAGCATAGTTGCTAGTTCATACTAATGCCCTAGGTATATACTCTTATTCTACACCAAGAGTGACTTTGTGCTACTTAGCTTAGACCTCTTTAGAAGTTGATTAAATTAAGCCAAAGACATGACTAGTGCAAAATAAAGATTTCCACAGGGAAACAGCGTAGAAGAGCTACTGTGCAATAATCATACTGGGCTATTACTCCATGGAGAAAAGCCTTGAATGAGTGGCAAACACTTCGACGTCTTATTTTTCATAGCATATTAAGTCATTTTAACCAGTATCACAGTTCACACATTTAAAAGGGAAGAGATTTGAATAACATTGCAGTAAAGTCCTTGGTCAAAACAATTTCCTTCTCAATTAGCGATCAGTCTCTCATGATTTAGCATTCTCCTCCTAAGTGACAATTTTGCTGAGGTTTGCTACCTGGGGATGATTTCCTTGTTTTGTATCACAACTACATGTATGTAGCATTTTTTTTAAATATATCGTGGAGCATTTTATTTTATACTTCATGTACAGTATGAGTACAGCAAAGAAGGAATTCTGTATTTTTAAATACCCAATGTTTTATCTAGGTGTCAAACAAAAACATTCCTCTCTCCAATGTTCTCCATCCTTACACTAATTATTCACTTGTTTATACTAAGGCCCCTTCACACAGTTTGCCTTTTGAAGAGATGCATCCATTTGTTCTACCACAGTGGTGTCAAACTCACCTGTGTTCCGGGCCACATCTGGGCCCCAAGGACCCTTGCAGGACAGATCCGGTAGTGGTGGTGGTGGGGCAAGCAATGGTAGTCAGTAAACAGCTGTCATTCACCCTCATACACTGCCAACAGGTGTGTCCCACCAGGTTCTGCAGCTGGGAATCTGGTGTCGGGCCCTGTCCCTGCTTGCCCCACCCACAAAGTCCTGGCCCCTCTGGGAGCTGGGTGGGCCAGATGAAATGGCTCCACAGGCCGCATCTAGCTTGCAGGTTGTAAGTTTAACACCCCTGTTCTACTGTCATTAATGAGGGAAGGTTGGTGCAAACAGACAAGTTCTATGCTGTACCCTGCAGTCCTGATCCTGTAACCAGATCTACATGGACTGAGTCTGGCAACTGAATGGAGCTCCACTGACTTCAAAGACTTGTCTTCTTTCTTGTCTCTGCCTGCCTGGGACCACTGCTGAAGAAATACCACTCACTACCTGTATCATGACTATCCTTAAACAAGAGTTTAGAGTTTACTATGAACTTATGGTTTCAGACATGGCCAATCCACCCATGTCGAAACAGTAAGATGACTGGCATGCATAAAAACTAGGTATATGCCTGAGTATGATTTTTTTTTAAACACCCACCTTCAAATTTAGTAGCAGGTGAGGCAAACTACATCATTTATTTTCTTTGAAGGGGTGCATGAGTGTGCATACAAGTCCATTTTCTTAGCTCATATAATTCAGGAAACTGCTGCATAGAGATTCCCCAACTAAATTCTCAGGTAGATATTACAGAACAAAATTTAATGAGGCCCACTGTGGATTACCAATGATCTTGATGAGACTGGGTGCGCGCGTGTGTGTGCATGTGCGCACTATGACTGCTGATCACAGGACTAATAATGATCACGGCGGATTTTACAAGTTGAATTCTGGTGTTCTACACACTTCTTACACACCTCAAAAGGTACGTACCTGTTCATGTGGGCAGGACCATAGCCACCAATGGCATATATCATTCCATCCAAGACAGCTGCAGCAAAACAACTTCTTGTTTTATTCATTGGTGCAACTGGCTGCCATTCCTTAACCTTTGGAATGTATTTCTCTACTGACTGTAAATATGTCTGCCCATCATAGCCACCCAAGGCATACAGTTCTCCTGCTAGAACGACTACTCCAAGAGTACTGCGGCTCTCATTCATTCTTTTGAGAGACGTCCAGGTATTTGTATCAGGATCCCAGCATTCCACTGAATTTTCATGTTTTCGGTAATTGATGCCTTGACACACATGGGTTGCAATCCCTCCTACCACATATACTTTCTGGTCCAAGACACATATTCCAAATTCATAGCGGGGAATGCTAAGAGGTGCTAGACCAATCCAGGAGTCATTCTGGGGAAAATACATTTCAACACTGGAGAGGAAATAAAAAACAGCAGATTAAATGAGTGCATAGCCCTCTGAAACTTTACTAAATATCATCTGTCATCAAAAATAAGTATTATTTTGGTCAAGATTAAATGTTGTGTTTCTCACACAAGCCTAATGCTCTTTCTGTCTGACTGGGTCTCAAGTGCTACTAATCATGTTCACCTAATTGCCAATTAGGAACACAGCCTCACTGTGTTTGACAGTAGTACACAGTCCCTGCTGCAAAATGCTTACTGTCCAAACAGACAAGCCAGACACAGAGCAGAAAATGAATACAAAGGCAGAATGAACAGTGCAATGGTAGCATGTCATGCAAATACTACAATTTGTTGTGGGGGTTGGTTTAGTTAAGGGATATGCCAAAAGGAAAGCTCAATGAAAATGAAGGAAGGATAATGGGGAAGAGAGTAAGAGGGGCAGATGTGTATAAAACATACATGAAAGATTTGATGAGTGTGATTGTGAAACTTCCTTTTAAAAATAAACCTATTTAGAATGAAAATAGTAAAGAATGACAAACATGTTCAGGATTAATGTATTTAGGTAGTTTAAGTGTAATATTAAGCAGTCATGCTTGCTGCTAGCACTATGAAGAAATCCAGCCATCAATGTGATGGAAGTTATTGATCAAGGATCTGGAACCACAGCTCACTGAAGAGCTAAACCACATTTTGAAAGCAGTAGGCTCTTCTGAAAATTTAGTGAGACTGTTTTCTTGTTTCAGTTGTTTCAAGTAGCTTATAGGAACATAAGAAGTGTCAGACTGGGTCAGACCAATGGTTGTTCTAGCCCAGTGTCCTGCCTGAGACAGTGGCAGAAGTGGATGCTATACCGGAGGGGTGTCACACTCATCTGGCCTGATGAGTAGCATGGAGCTGATCCACAGCCCAGCTCAGGCCTACGAACCCTCCTTCTACTGCCTCATCCAGCACAGGTGGCACCCATTCAGGCCAGTCCAGGATGCTGACTCCCTGAGGCAGTGCAGCCTGGGACCCAGCCCTAGTAGGCAGCATGGGCAGCACCCCAGGGAGCAGCATAGCACGGAACCCAGCCTCAGCAGGTTGCCCCTGGCTGCACTGCTCATGCTGCTTATTGGGGCGCATGGAGCACAGTCTGGGACCGGTCCCAGCAAGTGGTGCAGATCAGGACCTAGCCCAAACAAGTGCTGCAAGTTCTAGGCACCCAGGGGTTGGATAATAGGGCTCTACAGGCCAAATCTGGCCCACAGACTTTATGTTTGACACCCTTGCTATACAGGGAGAATACCAAAATGGACATCTCTAGAGTGATCTATCCCCTATTCAATATTTCAAAGCTAGTCTGGGAAACTCAGGGTCAGTTCTTGACCCCAAATAGACTTCAGTGTACTCAGGAAGGTTTCCCCAGACCTTTGTTTCCAGGACAGCCACAGAGAACAAGCATCGAGCATCCTACATCTCAGAAAGAACACAAACAAAAAGGTTCAACTCAAGAGGGTGATAAAAGATACAACAGCAAACATTCAGCTTTGCTATTCTCTGCAGGAGAAAGCATTCAATGCTGTAGACCAGCACAGTGGCAATTTCAGTTACCTACTCCTGGATGAGATTTGTCCTTACTCTTCCCCTCATCCATTCATCTTGAATAGATATGGGAGCAGGGTAAGCTTTGTATATCATGACACAATGTTTAAAGTCCTTGATTTTAAACTGCAGCAGAAGAGAGGCAAATACAAATAAAAACTCAATGAAGCATACTCCCTGTTACAGAACATTTACTAAATGTTCAAGTGTAATAGAAATCCACTGATTTCTACATGTATTAGGAAAGGCTTTTTTTCTTTTTCTTTTAAAGAAGCGGACATCACTGGGACTTTGCAAAACAGCCCCAGATTATTAAGAGGAGACATATGTTTGACATTCCTGCTGTACAAGGAGAACCAGATAGCTCTAGAGCAGGGGCGAGCAATTATTTTGGGCAGAGGGCCACTTACTGAGTTTTGGCAAGCCATTGAGGGCTGCATGACACGCAGCCCAGGGCAGATTAATATTAATTTTCTAAAATTTTTAGGGGCCCCGTAGGCCGGACAGAATGGCCTGGCAGGTCGCATCTGGCCCCCGGGCCACATTTTGCCCACCCCTGCTCTAGAGTGACCGCTCCACCATTCAACACCCTCCTTGGACTGAACAGAAAATTACTATGAAACATTAAATGTCTTAATTTTTTTAAACCAAAAACCTTACTATTCCTAGCTTTACAACTCTGTATTCTGCTGTTTTGAATTTATCATTTTGATAAAGGAAAACTAAGTTTTACCCAATCAAATATGGCAAAATTAAGAAAATCTTAATGTGAACACATGTAGGGCATGTCTACATGTGAAAAACTCTGGTGCATATTGTGCCTACTGCTCCCAGGTGCCAGGTTTACACATGTGCCCAGGACTGCAACGCACTGAGCTGGGTTGGAGCAGTAAAAGGCCCAATCCTTGTGGCAGCGCAGCCCTGGCCCCTCCCCTGCTGTCTGCAATGAGCCAGGCTAAGGCTTTGCAGACCTCAGTGAAGTGGCTTACAGCCTCCCCACTGCCTGCTGCGAACAGCCTTGGCTCTGAGCATGCCCCTGCCACCTGCCACAGAGCCTGAGCTACTTACAGCAGGTGGTGGGAATGCTGCAAGCTGCTGCACTGAGGTCTGCAGAGCTCTGGCCCGGCTCACTGCTGATACTGGGCGCACATGCATCTCTGGGTGGATGGCAGGGAAGGGGCTGGGGTCTACGCTGCCACAACAAGGATCGGGCCCCTTGTGGCTCCCCCACCACCCACCCCTGGCATGCCAACATCTTATATGATGAGGTTGGCGTGTTATTGGCACTCTGCCCAAAAATGTTGCCGACCCCTGATCTAAACACTTCTGCTTCAACAAAAGCACGAGTAGTTCAGCCTAGCGTAGTGTAAGATTCTTTTACGCTATTAAAAAGGACATGCTGTCAACCTCAAAAAAACCTATTTATCTGACTATTTTAATTCAGTGCCACAAATAATACCAAACAATAAGAGGATCAGGGAAAAGAAAAGGGGTTTTTTCTACTTATACAGATTTTGTGCATCAGACAGATACACCCCTAAAAAGTGCAATAGAGATTCTGATTATTAGAGTCTATTCTCAGAGTGACCTGGAACAACCTCTTTGCTACCTAATGTGTAGCATGAAAGAGAATAAAAGGGGGAGGGAAAAGGAATTGTTTGTTTGCTTCCTCAGCTGAGGACAGAAAGCCTTGCTTAATGGCTATAAGGGCTGTAGTGTTGATACAGTTGTAAGCAATCACTAAAAGATGATACTGGTATTCATGTTCCCTACCTGGCACATAGCCGAGCACACCCGTCTTCCCTTAAGCTAAAAAATTATAAGAGCTGATGGCCCTGCATTATCTTCCGCACTCCTTGCCACCAGCATCCTTTGGCTCAATCTAGCTTTGTGACTTGAAGCCTATTTGGTGCATACAGAATTTTTAGATTTCAGTGTCATGCCTCTAATAAGCTGTACTGACATGAGCATGACAGGATCCAGCACATCACAAGCTTTACAATACTCTCAACTCTTCTTGAATTTTCAGAGACGCCAAATGCCACTGCTCTGATCTCTGAACTATCCCACTACCAAATTAAAGTTCCTTCTCTGTAATTTGGAGGCAATAAAAGTCCTAGTGTGAAGGATTCTACTGAAGCAAGTTTTATTCTCCCCACTTAATCAAGGCCGATGCTCGAGGAGGGCAGAGAAAGCACTTCAAAGACATCCCCGAGGCCAACTTGAAAAAAAAGCAAAATTAACATCAACTTGTGGGAGACCATTGCCCCGGGCTGCCCCAAATGGAAGAAGTCTGCTGCAAGGATCTCAGTACTTTGAAATCTTACACTGACAACAGGAGTTGGAAAAGCAGAAGTGGCAGAAACAGAACATCACGGACTGAATCAAGAACCTAAAGCCGCCCACCCCACATGAAAATAGGGGCCTGAGTTGCAAGAGAGTCTCTTGATCCCAGATCAGCCTCGTTAGCCATCTTTGGACCCACAGACAAGACAACTATGGAAGACAATCATCCTTAGTGGCAAGGGATTCCCCAATGATGATGATTATGAGTCCTAGATTTAAATACTCCACTTAATTCTCTGAACTTGACAAGACTCCCTATTACAGTATTCTCTAACCTCATTCTCAGAGGCACCAAAACTTTTTTGCCAACAGAGCACAAGCATGAAGACTTTCAGCCTCAATGGTTTTAAGATAATAAAACCTGGAGTCTGTAGCAGAGAATATAAACCTATGTTATAATCAAGGACTTCAGTCAGTCTTATTCATACATTTCTTGTATAGAATTGTAAGTCAAAATTTTCTTCATGAGATAAAGTAGTGGGGTACAAAAGCCTGCCTCTAGGTGACATTTCTATAGTTCTGGCAACCTAGGGAGGTAACTGAAAGGAAAATAAATGCAATATTGTTGTGAAAACCCAGAAAAGAAATCCAGGTAAAAACAGAGTGAGAATAGTCAGGTTACTAACAAATTTCACGTTTGTCTTTAGCGCGTGTTAAAGCAGGTGCGTACTAACATGGTGCTCCACCTTTGTTAATGAAGCTACACTGCTTCAGATACTAGTTTCATAGAAGTAGGGTCGTAGGGGATCTGAGCAGATCATCTAGTCCAACCCCCTGCCCTGGGCAGGAATGAATACAGGGCTCTTATGACCCCTACTAAGTTTAAGCTCAGATGACGCCAGCTAAGAACTAGCTAACTAGAATTAGCTCAGGTGGGTGTCTGTTTGGTACTACATTGTGTAGTAAAGACATAGCCTCAGTTGCACAAACACAGCAGTTCCCAACACAAAGTCTGTTTTAACCCTGATCAGGAAGGTTATAACCAGGCAAGCCCGCTAGCATCACTCAAACAGTTTAAATTTTACTGCTCCTTACCTCTCCAAGCACGCAAACAGTCCAGCTTTTCCTCCTACAGCACAAAGAACTTTAGGAGCACAACGAGGCCTTGTCATCAGCACAGTCTGATGGGAAAGTCTGTGTTCAGGCATGAAATGGTATTTCAGGGCTTCATTTAGTAGATGTTTACAAGTATGGTCATCTCGAATAAGATGGTTTGCTTCATACAATCTAGTAAGAAACTTAACGCTCAGCAGTGGTAATCGGACAGAGTGTAGAAGCTGTGCTAAGTATTTCTGCCGTTCCTGCACATCGTACTTGATCCAAGATTCTAGTGCGTAAAAGACCGTCTCTTCTGTGACAACGTTCAAACAGTCATTGGAAACAATTTCATCTAATTCAGAATGTGTCAGCTCAAAAAACTCTTCAGTCTGACAAACATCTTCAAAGTTTTGACAAATGTATTTGTTAGCAGCCAAGTAGAGGTCATGGCAGCCGTACGTCTCTGCAAAACGAGAAATCCCAATGCAATTGCCAGGATCAAGCTGGCTTTCAAGAAATGTGCAGCATTCCTTCAGTACAAGTTTGATCTGGAGAAGATTTGCAGCTGGAAGAAGCGACTCAACAGTGTCCTGCGAGATGAATACAGTTCCCGTGTACGCATACTCAACTATGGCCTGCAGTGCTGCCTCATCGATGTACTGGAACTCGACCTCAGAGTTCTCCTTCTCTGAAAGATTTCCAGTGAACATGGCTTTGAAATATGGGCTGATGCTGGCAAGCACCACTTTGTGGGCATGGATCTTGACATCGCCAACTCTCAGGATAATGTCACAGAGCTCGTGATGTTGGCGAAGAAGATTCAAGCCCTGCAAAAGCTGTTCAGAATGCAAGTGGGTTAAGTTGGCAAGCATGTAGGCTGGAGACGACTGGTCCATCTGTGACAAACAAAATTTCAAATGCATTATTAAAGCTTTTATTTTAAGGGTCACAATTACTTACTCAATTATTTAGAACATAACAACAATAAAAAAATCTATTTTTCATAATTTATTCTGTTACTTTAATGGGTGTATCGTATTCAACTGAAGAAAATCAACCAAGACTATTTTGCTTTTGACTTCTCTTGATCTAGCAAATGCTTTTCTTAGGCGAGTTAAAATCAGAGACATTCTTATTAAATACTTGTTCCTTAAAAAGTATCTCTTTATAAAATCTGAAATTTGTGCCCAAAATACCTGATAATATCTTTAAAACAAAATCCTGTCTCAAAAATATTCTTGGGAGTTGCAGCAGTTGGAATTAAATAATGTAGAGACCGTGCTGATTTCAGAAAGTATGAACACAAGGTAACAACACACAGTACAATGTCAGCTTGATGCACAACTGCCCCAGTTTAAAGAAACCTGCTTACAACTTCCATCTGAATGCTTCAAGCTGTGGGTCAAGGAGCCATGCTGATAATGCTCTTTAATGAATAGGGAGCAGAACTTGTGGAGAAAACAATTACTACATACACATGTCCTTGGAGGGCCATGAACTCTTCAAAACTGAAGATTCACTGTGAGGTTCAAATTTTCCTCCTTTCTTCTCAGGATTACTTTGCAGGGGAGATTAATCAATTATTTAGGTTTAGGGATGGCAATGAAGAATAGAAGTACTTAGGTACAAAAACAAATCGTAATAGTTTAAAAAAAGTTAAGTTGCTTGCTTAGTTCTGGAAACTTATTTCAAATTATTGTTATGATAGATGTATAAAAGCTCAGAAGAATAATATTATTTATGCTAAAACTATGTTCTTTATATCTACTTAAAATACAAGCACTTCAATCTCTTTTTTGAGTGGAATTCTTTTTTGTAATTATTCGTAGTACGTAGACCAGAGTCAGCTCTTTTGCATACTATTTAATTGCAGCGGAATTATTAAATTTGTTGGGGAGGGAAGTGTCAAGATCCTGGAAACTGAGATGACAGAGTTCTTTCAACAAAGGACACTGCGCCCATGATTTATGAAATAAAAATGTATTGGCTTCTCATTTGTTTAACTGACTATAATGAACTGCACAAATTCACTTCCTGCAACCTATTATTAAAAAAAAGTTAGATTTTGTATTCAGTCGCATTCTCTTCACCCTTTTAATAGGTCCTTAATTGACACCTAATTTGCAGAGCAGTGTATCTGCAAAGTACTGGATCTGGCAGGAGACAATCACCTGCCAGAACCTAAATATAGATTATCATCATAACTGACAAAGAGGTGAAGAGTTACAAGCGCAGTAAAAATACTCGTCTATTGGAAAATACACAAGTTCATGCCTTTCCTTTTATAGCCTTGTCAGCTCTCCCTCATTTAGAAAAAAGGAAAAATACCTTTCCCCAGACTTCTGAATACAAGATGTTAGGGATGGAAATGAGCACCTAAACTGCTTTTCTCAGATTATTGCTTTTGAATTTGTCTTTGATTTGATTTAGTGTTTTTTTTAATAATACAGAAGAGTGAGTGGATTAATGAAGAGCATATTGAAAGAAGAGACAGTTGTCAGAACCCAGAAACAGATCCTGCAAACACCTGTGCATGAGTTTGAAACCTTCAAAATTAAATGCGTGTTTACCAGTTATAACCAAAACGGTCTCTACCACATGAACAACAGTGCACAAAAATGTGAAGTCACAGCCCATGCATAGTTTTGTCATACCATCAGTCATGAAACCTGGAAACAGGCACATTCAGCAACTTCAGAGATATGCCTCATACCTTGGATTTACCTAAGCGTTACTGTTCCTATAATTTACGATATAAAGATTAACTACATGTTCCTATAAACCACATAAATGAATCATTGAGTCCCAACTCTTGTGATAACTTGGTATGATAAAAAAAACTAGTGTTAGAACTAAAGCACAACAGTAGCAATAAAATTATTGTTAAAAAACTCAGGGGTTATTCTGATAAGCTAGTTCTAAACTCATTTAATATAGAAAATCACCTTTTCATGAGTGACATTATGTAATACCTCAGTAATCAAAGAAGTAGGTTTAAAACCTAAGAAAAGGAAGTTCCTTTCCACACCATGTGTAATCAACTTGTGGGACTTGGTGCCACTAGATGTTGTAGAGGCTAGTGGTGCACCAATAAATATTTTTTTGGCAAATTATTAACCAGCCCTATCAGCTGATACCAATCCCGATAGTCGACATGCATCTTGGAGAGCAGCATCCTACTGGTAAGTCTGCAGGGGGTAAAAGGCATGGGGCAGATTGAGGCCCCCACAGTAAGGGAGGGAATGGGTCTGCGGAAGGTGCTGCCCAGCTGGCGTTAGGGCAGGATGTGGAACAGAGCTACAGGCAGCTTGTCCGGGGGCATGTGGGTAGCTCCTTGCCGCTGTTCACACCCCTGGGGAAGGCATGGGGGGCACGCACTCCCCAGATTTGTGCACTGGGTGAGGGCAGACTGCCTGCTCCGGGGTCAGGGCCTGTGCTACCCTCTTCTGGGGCTGGGGGGGAGGGGGAAGGCTGGGCCAGGGCTGTGTTTGGGGCAGAAAGGCAGGATGGGCAGCAGCAGTACTGGGAGGGGGAGGCTACAGGTGGTGATTTGATTTGGAAGAGATTTGGTGCAATTCGGTGGCTTAATTTCCAAATCTGAATGGAATCAGGGGACCAATTTAAAGTTCTGGATCGATTCAAAGCTCTCTGAATCTTCAGGAAAGATTTGGAG